TCACCAGGACACTTCCAATTTTACATGGGAGAAAACCTGAATAACCAAAGATCCACATACAAATACCTGCGAAAACCTATATATATATAATTTATTTTGTATCGGTTGTATCATGATTTGCCATTCCACTGCTGAAAAATCTACTTCTTTCCTGGAAGAAATTGAGAGAGAGAAGGATAAGACAGAACTATGTAATTTGTTGAACTGTTAGCTATTTTGATAGAATCATAGTCTGCTTTCATATCATGGTTTCATCCAGTATGTTACCAAGGCACTGCTTTATATTTTCTGATTGCCCAACTTTTTAAAACATTTTAATATATCCTATCTTATCCATTTTCTCTAATTTCATCCCACCCACCTCACCCTACCTCACTTCATCCCCTCCCATTCCATCCCATTCCATGCCAACAGAGATCTTCTTGTGCATGTGAACATAATACTTGTGGAGAAAGCTGTGATCGGTGTTGTCCTGGATTTAATCAGAAACCATGGCAAGCTGGGACTTTCCTTGTAAAACATGAATGTGAAGGTAATAGAAATATTTCAATGGATGTGCTTTATAACATAAATCAAAACAAAAAGGCTTACCAATATATATTCATTGTGATATAGTCACATCTAGTTCTCCATGCCATTTGGATGAGAAACTGGAAAAATGCTATGTAATTTTCTCTGTGGTTCTTAGTGGAAAAAACAAACTGAAATTAGAAATAAACATTCTAAATTATAATTGTATCAGATAATAAAATCAAGTTAATTACATATATTTGATGATGAACAGGTTATCATGTTTGTAGCTACTGTGGAAATGTATATTTATTGAAGATTAGTGTAACTGTAACATGTGCAATACATTTGTTTCAATCGGATAAATTAAATATAGTTTTGCATTCAAAATAGTGCATCCAATTAGTGGTTAATATTCTTGAATTGCATTCCTTTAGATCTGTTTATTTTTATTTTTTTGTTAATACAATGCAATGCAAGTTCCTAATAAGTAACTTAGAACTCATAGTGAATGACAATTTTTAATATTAGCATGTTGTAATAAAAACAAGATAGTCTTAGCATCTTAAAAACTTTCTCATGGTATAAGCTTAAAAACAATTGTAGTTCATAATAATGTATAACTGGTCAGAATAAATGAGATGCTATCATCATTTTAGCACAGAATTTTAAAAGGGTTCAACCATAATTAGTCATTCTGAAGTACTAGAATCATTCCCATTAATAATAGCCTTCTGTGTAATACATTTTTTCAACAACTTAGTTAACTTACAAAATATTGGAAGTCTATATAGATTTTTTTAAATGGTACTTTGGCATTGTCAGAGGACCAAGTCTGGAAAAGACACAGAAGATTCTTCCTTAACATGATTTGGAAAGGTAATAATACTATGATGAATTCCTCAACATAATATGTGAATGGCCACTTATTAAATTCAAATAGCTGAAACTTTCTGGTGGACTAGGATCAAAACATTGAAAGAATATTGTTAATTCCTGGAAAAAAATGTTTTTACATGAGTGCAGACTGATGTGATGCTTGTTAATATACTTCTGCTCTTTAGCTTGCAACTGCCATGGGAAGGCAGAAGAATGTTATTATGACCAGACGGTGGCAGACAGAAAGCAGAGTTTGAATATCCATGGAGAATACCTTGGAGGCGGAATATGCATTAACTGTACCCAGAACACTGCGGGCTTCAATTGTGAAACATGCATTGATGGCTACTTCAGGCCAAAAGGGGTAAAGGATCCATAATTCTGTTATCTGAATTCCAAGACATCATTTCCGATGCTACCATATTAAATGAAAAGAAAATAGTACTCTGAACTGTATTTATTCTAGTCTCTCTACCTATTAGTTCCTTTTCAAAATCGGGAAACCTAAAATGGGAATTTAAAAGCAATTTGTGTTGGTATGAAGAAACACAATGAAAGAACAGGACCTTCTGCTATTATTTTGGTTTGCATGGATGAAGATGTAAATGTGTAAATCTAATTTTTGGTCAGTAAATCCATGTTACATTATTGCAACCATCAATAGGAAAAGTAATCATGGAATCTCCCCAGCTTGCAATAAAGGGAAGGATAGTGCTCAAGCTTCCAAATTAGGTTAAGACAAGTGACATGATAGAAGGACCAGTAGATCACTTCATTGCTTTGTTTTTACTTCCATAGGTTCATCCAACTGATCACCAACCATGTCAGCCATGTCAGTGTTATTCTGTGGGCTCTTTAGATGGCACTTGTGTCAAGGATGAAAAACAAGCTACAGGAGGTGAGATGCTTGACTGATATTAAACTTTATGTCCCACATCTTCCAAATTAATGTTAAGCAATAGCTTCTTTTCAGTAAGCTACTTCTCTGATAAACATCATCTTGCAAGAGGCCTTTTGAAATCTAGTTGCCTCTGTTCCTGCAGAGCTTCCCCTCAGAGACCCAAGCTGTTGTCTCTCATGTTTTCTTTTTGGTATTGCTATGTTGTGACACTCGCAAATGAAGGCAGGATTTTTTTTCCCAATGGACTTTTAATTTTTCTTCCTTTTCTCTCTTTTGTTGGAAAGTTATTGTGAACTTCTATGAAAACATTAAAAATATATATATTTTCCCTGGTGTGCAGTCCACAATGGTCTTCTAAAAATAGCTGTATGTCTGAACTGTACATTTACATCATTCTGAAAGATTTTTTTAATCATTTTGCCAAAAGCAAGGTTCCTTCTCTTGAGATGGTAATTAGACCTAATTCACATCCCCAATATTATTTTCTCCATTCTTATTTGCACTTGAAAACCAAAATAAGACCATTTGCGAAATGACACATTATGAACTTTGTAAAATTTCAATGTAGTCTTAGTAATATCTAAGGGCAGTTTCTGATAACTGAATACAGTTTATACAACAGCTGACAACATTTTTTTAGGATTGGTTGTTGCTAGGATTAGATTAGATTAGATGAGATGAGAATACAACAGACCTCACAAGGATTTTTTTCCTATAAGGCAGATTGAATAGAATAGTATTAATTCTATTATCTTTTTGATATTACCACAATGGTGAATATATTAAGACATTTTTAAAAAGATACACCAAAGACTTACAAGTTAAATGTCCAAAAGAAGCAAGAAATTGATAAATATATTGCATAAAAAGTTTTCTTTTAACACTTGAGGTCAATGTCCTTCTGCTAGTTTGAAGATGTACAATATGGTTTTATTTTAAGGGAGAATAAAATATTTAGGTTTAGTAACTAATTAAAACTCATTTATTTATTTGCAGAAACCCTTCTTTGTTAAAGTAAGGGAGAGTTAAATGTTCTATTACCAACCTGATAAACTAGAAGAAGCAACACTGTCTAATAATGAATCAATCTTACAAACTGCTTAAAGGAAGTAAGGATAAATGTTAGTTGCTCATAACATATACCCTAAAACAACACCAAGATCCCAATTTGACTGAATCTAAATCACCTGGAAAAAGTCCTTATTTGAAAGAAGGGCTAGAAAATGCATTTATTTTGACAATAGATGTTCCTGACATATTTGCAGATCAGTATGATTGCATATTAGGTGTATTGAAATTGACTGTGTTAATGCTTGCAGTTTTCAGTAAGGAAAAGTGTGTATTTGAAGGGAAAAAAAATTCTGAATTATTACCCCAAGGGGAATAAGAACACTTTGTTCTTGGAGGATAATGGGATGGGATGACACTGAGTGGCTTTTTGTCAACTTAAAGTTTAAACCTCATGTCTTTCTGTGCATTAATGCAAAGGATTGTGGGATGTAGTTATAATGGCAGCAAAGTACTCTAGGATCGTGTTATGTTCTTTATCAGTCCCATTATCGCTGCAATAAAGAAAGGAGTCCATTATCACGTTTGCAGAAGATTTTTTTTTAATAAAATCAGAATCCATAGACTGCCCAGGACCTAGTTTTATAGATAAACACAGGCATTTAGATGACATAGGTATTTTCCCTGGATAAAAATCTTTGATCTTGTACTGCCTGAATCATTTACTGTATGTGTTCTACAGTGGTGGGATTCAAATTTTTTACTACCGGTTTTGTGGGCGTGGCTTGGTGGGTGTGGCAGGAGAAGGATACTGTAAAATCTCCAGTCAGAGGTGGTATTTGCCAGTTCTCTGAACTACTCAAAATTTCTGTTACCAGTTCTCCAGAACTGGTCAGAACCTGCTGAATACCACCTCTGGTCTTCTGCTGCATCAATTTCCCACTGCCCCCGACTCTGCCAAGAAACTAAACACTATTTTTATGCTGATAAAAGTTTACACTGCAGTTAACAAGAAACTCACATGACTACACTGCACTAAAAGAAAAATAAATCAAAATTCAGGTGTGTTCATGTTTATGCTTATAGTTAGAACATGGTGGCATTGACCTAGGACTTCCAAGATGTAGGAAGGTGACCTTACTGCTTTTTATTTATTTTTATTTTTTATTTTTGAGAGGAAAAGACTCAGGTAGAGCACACTACACTTGATCTGAACCAAAATGTGAACAAGCAGTATGGGAACCAGGCAGGGGTGGGATTCAAATTTTTAACAACTGGTTTTGTGGGTGTGGCTTAGTTGGTGGACGTGGCTTGGTGGTCATGTCACTCGCTAGGCTTGGCCAGCTCAACATCACTCACATTGAGGCATGCATCTTCTCGCCTAGCCTCTCATGACTGTGGGGATACTGCAACAGTCATGTTAAAAACGGTCATAAGTCACTTTTTTCAATGGTCATTCCACACAAGGAAAGTACCAACAAAGGAGGGGAGAAAAACTCCAGAGATGTTCCTGTGACAGGAAGTCTAGTTCTGCCAAGAATGTAATAAGGCTTAACGGAGATGCAGTTTATGTAAGCAACACCAGAATGTTTCCTTCCTGCCTTCCTTACAGGATTAGGCCAGTAATTTCTTCTAACAACCAGTTCTCCGAACTGCTTAAAATGTTAACAACCGAATAGGTGTGAACTGGTAAAATCCCACCCCTGGAACCAGGGAACGTTGCCTCACAATGCAGGTAGCAGGCACAATGTCTATAAGATTACATATGGCAGGAACCATACTTATAAGTTGCTTGTACTATCCAACAGGGTAGAAAAAAAATGATGTCACCATTGTTTTTAACATTTCCTATGTCAGTAACTATTTATTATCAGTACCATTGCTGGAGCCTAGCACCCTTTTTATTAACTAAACTTTGGTTAACCTGCCAAATGCCAGAAATTCAATTATTTTTATTTGCCGGTTATCAACATCATCTTTTGAGGAGGTACCCCGCCACCCATTAAACATTGATGGAAATGAATCTGATTTTGATCATGATTTTCCACACTTAAATAACTTTCCTAGTTAGAACTCATTTAGTTTTCAGTTTCCACTGCATTAATAATACTGAGCTTGTTGCCGCCTTGATTGTGCTGCAGGTATGCACCCTGGATCTTGTCACTGTAAGCCAGGTTTTGGAGGAGAGAGGTGTGATCGGTGTTCATTGGGCTACAAAAACTTTCCTTACTGTGTGCCCTGCAATTGCTCTCTGAAAGGCAGCTTGAATGATGATCCTTGTGAAGGACCTTGCAGGTGCAAGGTATGTATTTCATTTCCCCCTTTTTTCAACATTTAGTGAGTTTAAACTTTTCATCTGTAACATATTCTCTTTGTTGTAAATACTTCTGGAGATGTCATGGCATCAAAATGCCATGACACTACTCCTTGAAGTTCTTCCGATGTGGATTTGATGTTTTAATCTGAAGTAATCACTTAGCGAGTTATTCTTGTTAAAGCAGATTTCTTTTCCAAATAATGGCTTTATGGAAAAAAATAGCACTGGAATGTTTATATAACATCATTGTTTTTCAATATTTCATTTGTTTAGGGGCATCTAAATACTGATATAAAAACTCAAAACAGAAATAAATTGTTCCTAATAGCCCCTCCCCCAAATCTCTTTCCTTAAAACCTTGAAGAACTGGGTCTTCCCCTGAGCATTGGGCTAGTGAGAGCCTGAAGCTCAGGAAATATGTATGGGGGAGTGAAACTGGGACACTTAGAATTGTTTTTCTCTGATGTTTTACTTATTAATTAATTTGTCATATTTATATAATTGCCGATCTCAGAAATATGGCTCTGAGTGGCACACAATAAAACATGAGCCTTGAACCATATCTAAATATAGAATATTTTAACAACAAGTGAACAAACAAACCTTAATATTTTTAAAAAGAGTAGGAGACAGAATCTTTGGTGTGCCAGGTAATATAGCTATCTCATCAATTCACCTTTTCTTTGTGATACTGAAGCCTGTTGACACAGGTTGCTTTACTGTTGTTTTTCATAGCTATTTTTGTGAGATGCCCAAAACTTATAAATAAGATTTGTGGCCATATAAGCTTCTTAAATAATAAGTGAATACATAAATATTGTTTGATTAGCATCAGGGAGACCCAGGTGTGTGTCTATGTGTTCTATAGAAACATTCACTTTCACTGGGTTGTTGATGGGATGAAATGAAGAGAAATCTTTTTGTAATTTGCTTTGAGCTCTTGGAAAAAAAGATAGGATATAGATGGGCAACTTTATCATGAGGACAAAACAATATGAATAAGACTGGTCTCGTTTGGGCCATGGTTAACTTAAATCCCCAGAAAAAGCCTTTAATGCATTTCTACTCAGGTGCTTTTCTAGTATGTTAGGACTATGGTGCATTTTACAAATAGTAGAATAATTACAAAAGATGAAATCACATATTAGTTAGAAGAGCTACAATTGATGGATCTGGATAGCTTGGAAATTTGACAAGATGGAGTGTTATTAGCTGCAGTTAGATCTTTGTAATAAGGGCAATATAAAATAACATAGACAGGTGTTTTTGTACAAATAGGATGCTCATAATTTCCTCTTGAGATCAAAATGTGGGTTAAAATTAATTTCAGGAAGTATACAGTCTATGCATATTTTGCAACATTGCAGCTGTTTGGAAGTTAAGATGCCACAGAAGATATTCCAGGGTTTACTACGGCTGATGAAGATGCTGGTTCATTTTTCCTATCTGAGGTTAAAGAAAGGGAGTGCTCTGATTTCAGATGGGAGAATTAATTATGATGCATTTTTGTAGCTCTCAAACCTTGTGGACAGAGCTTTGTCATTCGGAGAATCCAGGGTTCCCCTCATTTCAACCCTATTTCCCCAAAGAGCCCAACCCTGCTGGGTCTTCTGAAAAGCTATGAAGTTCTGACTGTTCCCCACCCACTTGGCCCAGGTTGTTAATCTGAAATGGATGCAGGTGTCTTTCTTTCTAGTGAGTTTTTTCTTTTATCTTAGGAGTCTCAATTTTATTTTCTTACATATTTTATGATTTTGTGGTTTGTCTCTATTCACCTCCCACAATTTATTTGGTAGATGGGTGACCCAATAAATAATTGAAATAAAAGGATTCCAGCAATCACCCTAATTAAATCATGATTCTCAAGCTAAACTTCAAAAAATTTCAAAGGATTTATTAGAGGTGACATACTGGCATGATCCATATGAAGCCAACACTGGCATACGTAATTTACAGTCACCTGTGATCCTGTTTCCCCTCCTCCCCCCTGGGTGTCTCATAAACCAGATTCTCCAATTGAGCACGTTCATGGGCTGGGTGCCATCATTCACGTTCTCCAATTAAATATATTCATAGGCAAAAGCTCTGGTATTTTAGTTACAATCTTTTAAAGATAAGAGTTGGAATGTACTTTTGCTTTCCAACTGCTGCACTGCTCTTCCAGATTTCCTTCCTCTCCCTCCCCCCTTTTTTATGGCACTACTAAAACAGGCATAAGAATGTTAAATAAGCAAGAATGAGACAAGAGCTTTGAGATAAAATGAATGACATTGTTCTGTCTCAGACATATCCTCTTTCTTTATAATAAGCACAAATAAGCAGCATGAGAACAGGTCAACTTCACAAAAAAGAAACTAACTCAGGGAGGCTTCTACAATGATTTCTCATAACTACTGGTGAACCTTGTGTTCATCCTTTACTTCCAATTCAGGAATATTTTTTTATTTGTTTCTTGAAGTTGGTTGTGCATATTTTAATTTAAAAAATTGTACAGTTCATTGATATCTCTTAATAAGGGATCCATCAAAAAGATTAGAAAGTTATAATAGTATATACCATCTGTCCTGATATTCTCCTTTCCTCTTTTTATTTAAAATTCTTTTTTTTTTCTCAGTTGCTTTTCTTTTATGAGAAATTGTACAGTTCAGAAATTACTTTTAGGTTTGCTTCAGTACATTTATCCAATTCTTTAGCTGGAAGGCAAGTGAATTATTTTTGATAGATGTGTATCAGTAGAGAATCACAATGCTGGCTGTAGCTGGAGAATCATGATTTCCGTAAAAGTGTCAGCCTTCACTGGTCTGCAGTCAACTATATTTGGCATACCATACTGCAGAAATTATAATAATGTGCACAGAATTTTTGATGAACATCTTTCTAAAATGACCCTTTCTTGGCTGAATTGGAGGGTAGAGTGACATTACGGCATAAAAACCGTGATTCAGATTGAGACCAGAACAAGAAGAAGGAGTTATATCCCATGGTAAATCCCTGTGCTTATTTTGCATTGAGGAAAAAAAAACTGCGCTAGCATCTCTCTCTCTCTCTCTCTCTCTTTCTCTCTCTGTATATATATATATATAGATATGTACACATATGTATACATATGTGTATCTGTATACACATATTATATATATATAATATGCATATGTATAATATGTATATATGTATGTGTGTGTGTGTGTGTGTGTGTGTGTATTCTGAATATATATATTCTGCTTGCCCTGGCACAAAGCAGAAAGCACCAGCCTGGGGATGGTGAGTGGGACCTCGCCGAAACATCACCAAGATACTCTTAATCTTACACAGGAAAAGACCCGAACACACCTAGACCTACATGCACAAATATGTATATATATACACACATATATACAAATATGCATACACACACACACACACACACACACACACACACCACATACATATTTAACCCTTTGCATTTCAGTGCAAGCAACATATATAAAAGCAGGTTGCCATAGTGAAGCTAGACACTAGAGTGTTATGGTCCTATTATCTTTTTTTTTCCTTTTTAAAAACATTTGCAGATTATAGATCGAGGAATGGATTATTGGAAATGGTCTGCAATTGTTTTTAGCAGAAGTCAAATGAAAGCAGAGCCCACAAGTTTTTGAAAATGAAATAAATCAATGCTGCAGGATAGTTCCTACACTGTGTATATTCAGTTTTCCACTGCTTGGTGCCAAAGGTTTTGGCTGAGAATTCTTAACACACCTGGAAAAACACTGGGATACAGCTGTAGTTTATGTACACTACAAAGGACTAGAATTGTAACTTCGCGCTTCACAATAAATTTAGTTCTATCCAAACCAAATATCCCTATGTTGGTCATTATGTTGAATGTGGTAAAACTTAGACCAATCAGAAAAATAGTTAATTAGAAAATGGTGGCTGGACCACTATGTGTCCTCTGAGATAAAATTTGGAAGTTTTTTTTATATGTTCTCTATTCATAGAAGTATGTCATTAGACATATGCATATCACATTAAACAAAGCAAAAGCAACAAGAGGCAGCTAGATTTACTTCTCCTGCATGACAGAAAATCTAATATTGTCCTGTGAATTCCTAGGTGTATGTTGAAGGAAAGAACTGTGATCGCTGTAAAGCCGGCTTCTTTAACTTGCAGCAAGACAACCCCCAGGGCTGTGAGGCATGTTTCTGCTCAGGAATAACAAATGACTGTACAGATTCTCGCTGGACTTACAGCACGGTAAGGAAAAGCAGAGAAATGCATACATCCAACAAGTGTATCTTTTATTTTAAATAAAATCTTAACATGAAACTCACTCTGTGGACTTTTTCTTTAACTTGCATATTTTCCCTCCTCAGAATAAACAACAGGATTCTTCCTAGATGAAAGCCAAATTTTCTAAATTTTCACACTGGAGAGGTATTCCATTATCCATTCCAAAGTGAAAAAATGCAAACAGAACAATTTCCTCAGGGGAATTTAGTTTTTGGCTGTAAAAAGATGTGAAGGAAATGGAAATGATATGATTTTTCAAACATAGATAAAATACATTCGGATTGATATGTATTCTGCTTCTATAACTGAACTTCCATCCTGTCCTGGAAAATTCCTTAATCCTCCAGATCTAATCTGGTGATGCACAGAATGCTGTGGGAGCAAAAATAAAAATCTGTAGTTAATTTTATAGTTCATAGATGGATAACCCACAGCCTAGTCACCTACACTTGTGCCTCAAACACAAACTCTACACCCTAGGAAGCCCTTATCTGTTTTCTTTTCTGCCCAATGTATCCCCCACCATCAGGAGTATGAGGAAAATACTACCAACACATCTGAGATCACCAGTAGGCCTCCTAGTCATATGTACATGCCCAGGGAATTGGATGTTTTTGCTTTAAGTTGATGTATCCATAGATGAGTAATGTTTTTTGACATTTATGGAAGCATGAATGAATATGTATACTAGTGAAGGTGAAGCTGAACAGAATTTATGTTCACCTGCTAGTGCATTTGTGTTTAATTTCAGACCCTGATACCTGTCCTTTGCCTCACTGATGGTAAAATTAAAAAGGAATAACCACTCTTAATCTTGATATTGAATTCATAATTTACCCGCTCAAATATTTAACTCTGAGATTTGTCAATATCCTCTGAATATTTTCACTGGAATAATAATGAAATCAATTATTTTTTTAAAAAAATTATTAAGAAGCATTATAGAAGGAAAGTTTTGCTGAATGTAACAGCCCCAAAAGATGTGGACCTTCAAAAGATTCAGGATTGTAATGAGAGATGACCATAGATGATGGAAATCTGTCACAACTAGCACTGCCGTTCCAAAGCCAGATTTATATAGCAGCTAATTAGTATTCACATCACCCCAAAATTAAAAAATAATAATGTATGTGATTCTTTTAGGTGCAATGGCTTGGTGGTTATAAACAATTGTCAACTGGAGAGCTTACAACCCATTCAAGACCTGAGCTCTGCATAACGGAGTGAACTCCCATTACTTGCCCAGCTCCTGCTCAGCTAGCAGTTTGAAAGCATGCAAATGCAAATAGGTTAATAGGTACCACTGTGGTGGGAAGGTAACAGAGTACCATGCACCTTTGGCATGTAGCCATGCTGGTCACATGATCACAGAAAATGTATTTGGACAACATTGGCTCTCTCAGCCAAGAAATGGAGATGAGCATTGTGCCCTAGAGTTGACTATGACTGGGCAGGGAAACCATTATTTTTACCTATTTACTCCTATGTAACCCAGGCCAGGAGTAAGTAGATTTCTTTTTAAAAAAATCTAAATTATATTTGCTGGAAAGAGCACTGCCAGGTAAGTGTTGAATCCTTACCTGACGAAAATAATACAAATAAATGCTCCCCTTCATTGGCAGATCTCATCCTTTCAACATATAGTCAGGAAAATATCAATTTGGCTACAGTTTATCTGGATACACAAGAACAGGCAAGAAGTAGTGAATCTTCCTGCACACAGTCTTTAGTAACACTGAGGTATGGTTATAGGATGGTAGATCATCACAAAGGAGACTTTAAACCTGATCTACCTATCAGAATATATGTCATTTTGTTTTGTAATCAATTATGTTACACGCTGAGACACTTTTTGCATAACTGACAATTCAGTAACAAACTGAAAACAGTGAATTAGAAAGAGATGAGCAGGTAAAGCTGGTTATTCAAGAAAGGTGAATCCCAGGATTATTGCTAAGGCTGAGACTTAACTTCGGAACATCACTTGGTTAACATTCTTATTTTATTTTATTCATAAATAAAGTATTGGTGCTCTTCCAATGTAACAACTTCTAACCAAAAGAAGACTGCATTACAGGTAGTCCTCAACACAGAAGAGTTCATGTAGTATCTCTTCAAAGTTACAATAGCGCTGGAAAAAGTGACTAATAACCGTTTTTTACACAATCATTGCAGCATTCCCGTGGTCCTCCTGTGATCAGAATTTAGACATTTGGCAACTCACTCATTTTTATGATGGTTGCAGTGTTCTGGGGTCATGTGGTCACCATTTGCAACCTTCTGACACGCAAAGGGCTTTCAATGGGAAAGCCAGAGTCACTAAATAACTGTGCTACTAAATTAACAACAGTGATTCACTTAACAACTTTGGCAAGAAAGGTTGCAAAATGAGGCAAAATTCACTTAACAACTGTGTCACTTAGCAACAGAAATTTTGGGCTCAATTATGATTGTAAGTTGAGGATTACCTTTTAAGCCTATTAAATATAGCAGAGATGATCATAACATAAGAAAGGAAATCATGCAATACCACTTAAAAGCTTTCCAAAATGCCAGTTATGTAACATATTACTTCTTATTACTTATACTGTCTCTAACCACTTAATTAAGTCCAGTGCTAGCACTCTTCTGGGCTTAAGTCTCTTATAGGCTTATAAGTAATATTTCACCATGATATTGCAAGCAATTTGTAAATTCAGGCAATAAATAATGGTTTAATTTGGGTTTGACATCTTATCCTCAAACATTTCATTAATTAAGAGTGCTCTAATTGAGTTGAGCTTGGGAAAAATGTTTGGCTTAGATATGTTTTATCTTTGTTTACCGTATACGCATACAGAATGAATGTCCCAAAGTTGCTTTTTCAAGAGGCAACTGGACTTTTGGGGTTTTTTTTTCCTTTGAAAAAATATTTTACTTCTCATCCAAGAAGCTTCTTCAGTTCTAGCTTATTTTTCTCTTTGTGAGGAGCCAGCTTCTTTCCGATTAGAAATCCTGTCAGCGTAAAGATACAGATACATTGTCTCCTTTTTTTTTCTTTTCAGTTTCATTTCAATCAGTTATAAAGGTTGGGATAACTGAGCTATGAGCTCAACCAACCCCTCATATTTCCAATAATGTCAACCAAGGTGTGAGCAGGAAAAATACAGGACAAAAAGTTTAAGACTAAAAAAAAATCCCGTAATTCCGAAACAGGCTTTTATTGTTGGAGAAGACATATAATAATTTTCTTCCCTTTGAAGGAAACATTAGTAGTTGCCTTCAAGAAAAGCCTTGTCATATGACATATGTTGGGTTTTAATACCCTGATCTTGGTGCATCATTATCTTCTCTCATTTCCTGTTACAGGGTGATTTCATTATTTTTTCTTTCCTTGCTCGCACAGAAAGCCAAGTTTCCATTCCTATCCCCCTAACTCTGCCTGGTTTTGATAGAGTCTCTTGTTACAGATTCTTGCTAAAATAATTGTCAGGCAAATCCTTATTCTGTAGCAAGTATTAATAGGATAATGTTTCCTTTTTCCTATTCCATGCATGATCATGGTCTTATTCTTGTTATATAGAGTTTGGCTAATTTTGCCATAAAGAAATGCATCTAATCTGAACATTTTTTTCAATGCATTCAATGCAACTTTAATCTCATTACAAGTCTGGAACTTATAAAATTAGAATCAGTCAAAATGCCTCTTTTCCTATTTGCCTTTTTAATTTTTCATTGTCTTCAAATACGAAGAGAAAATTTCAGTGAGCCATTGAAAATCATAAGAATGAAACATTCTACTAAACATTTCTTTAGGTTGCCAAGTTTAAGTCAACCATGGATTTTTAAAATATACCCTTTTCTTCTTATTTCATTGATGTGTATTCCAGAAGATGTGTTCATTTAACACTACAAACTTAAACTTGTGTTTCTGTTGATTTGTCAAAGTATGGGAAATTGGTTAATTATTTTGCCATAGTTTTCTCAAGGAGAAGTATATTAAACCCTACTCTCAATATTAAACGAGAAACTATTAAGGGCCAGTTTTGTATAGAGATTAAGCTGCTGGACTAGACATCAGGAGATGTCTATTCTAATGAGTTCTAGTCTTCTCTAAGCATGAAAGTTGATTCATCCATTTGGGCCATTCTCTCTCAGTCCAACCCACCGAGGGATGTTGCAAGGAGATGGGAAAATTTTGTACATTGCCTTGAGTTGTGGAAAATAAAAGTGGGATATTATTATTAATATTAATATGAAAGCAAACAAAAGGAAAGAAGCAAAGGGTTTGAAGGTGAAGGTTTCTTCTCCAAGCTTATGAGTTGGTTTCCAAATGTTTCATTATCAGACTAGGTAACATCTTCAGCAGAGTTTAGGGGGTGGAGTTCTAACACAGTTTTGAAAAGGGGTTTTTTAAAAAAATGAAAGAAAGTTGTGGATATTAACTTGTATTTTTCTTCGTTATCATAGATTATGGACATGAATGGCTGGCATTTGACTGATGAATGGGGTCTTGCTAGAATTACTCCTCAGCAGGACACTTTCGATGGACCTCAGCAACTGAGCATCAGTAACACAGTTGCAAGAACTGTTCTGCAGCCTATTTATTACTGGAGTGCACCCAGTCCTTATTTGGGTAACAAAGTAAGTATTGATCTTTGCCTGAGAGCTAATTTGATGTATCAGTAATGAATCAGTAATGAATATGAATATATATATATATAT